AAGTGCCTTAGGCACTATGCTACCAGAGCTCCCTCCTATTTGAATAGTAGAGTACTGAATTTAATTTGATGTTTTTTTATTTAAAAGAACGTTAACCATGAGAATTTTCAAACATGGATAAAATTAGAAGGAATTGTATAATGAATCTGCAATCACCCAGACTCAAAATTATCACCAGTTTTAAGCATTAATTTGCCGTACTTGCTTCATCCATCCCTTTGATCACCTGCCTGGTTATCTTCTTTCTTTAAATCTCTCTCTCCCCCTAGTGTTTTAGAGGAAGTTATAGACCATTTTACTTCACTACTATATACTACAGTGTGCATCTCTAAAAATATGTATATATTTTTAACTGCAGTGTAACTTCACACATAACAATACTAATTCCAAAGTCAGATTTATCCAGTTGTTTGAAAAATTGTCCTTTTATAGTTTCTTTGTTCTTATTAGAATTCAGACAATGTCTTCATTTTGCCTTTTGTTATTATGGATTTGATTTCATTTAATCCTGGACTACTTGGTTTCATGTACAAATACTACTTTGAGAAAAATTTTTTTCTAATTGAAATGAAAAGTAGGAAAGATAAATGTGCAGGGATCATTATTTTTTACTTATAGCTACAATACATGTATACATGAAAATTCTATACTAAAAGGGTTGTAATATGCCCCCTGTGTACACACGTGAGGAGGACATGGAAAACTTTAGGAAGCTTCATAACATGTATCATGATACTCATGGTTTATAATATTATAGACATATATAGCATGCGCTAGACTCTGCTGAAACCTCAAAAATGTATGTAGAAGTAAAATACAGTTCCTTTCCTGCAAGGAGCTTTTAATTTAGATTGGAACTAGAAAATCTCTATAATAAAAAGATTAAGGAACAGAAAGTGATTAATATTTAAATAACTTATATAGACAGCAAAGATTTAGGACTTTAAAATTGTCTGTGGCTCTTCCTAGTTTGGCAAGTTTCCTATGGATTTGACCTTGGTTTGGGGTAATAAAGCATAGATATAAGATAATAAACAAGAAGAACATTTCAGATTAGAACACCATAAATAAGTGCACAAAGGATGTCTAAATGCCAGATGACTTCAGGAGGTAGTAAAAAGAAGATAATTGAGTTAGAGAAGTTGTTGTTAGGTGCCGTCGAGTCATCTCTGACTCATAGCAACTCAGTGCACGGCAGAACGAAACACTGTCTGGTCCTGTGCCAGCCTCATGATCCTTGCTATATCTGAACCCATCGTTGTAGCCACTGTGTCTACCATCTCGTTGAGGGCCTTCTCCTTCTTCATTGACCCTCCACTTTACCAAGCATGACATCCTTATCCAGGGAATAGTCCCTTCTGACAACATGACCAAAGTAGGTGAGACGAGGTCTGGCCATTCTCGCTTCCAAGAAGCATTCCGGCTGCACTTCCTCCAGGACAGATTTGTTAGTCCTTTTAGCAGACCATGGTACTCTTAACATTTCTCTGCAACACCACAACTTAAAAGCATCAATTCTTCTTCAGTCTTCCTTATTCATTGTTCAGCTCCCACATACATAAGAGATGATTGAAAATCCCATGGCTTGGGTTAGGCAAACCTTAGTTCTCAAGGAGACATCTTTGCTCTTCATCGCTTGAAAGAGGTCTTTTGCAGCAGATTTGCCCACTGCAACATGTCATCTGTTGTCTTGTCTGCTGCTTCCACTGGTATTGATTGTAGAACTAAGTAATATGAAATCCTTGACAACTTAAGTCTTTTCTCCATCCACCGTGAAGCTGTTTATTGGACCAGTTGTGAGTATTTTTGTTTTCTGTGTATTGAGGTGTAATCCATACTGCAGACTGTAGTTTTTAATCTTCATCAGTAAGTGCTTTAAGTCATCCTCACTTTCAGCAAGCAAAGTTGTATCATCTGTGTATTGTAGGTTGTTAATGAGCCTTCCTCCAATCCTGATGCCACTTTCTTCTTCATATAATCCAGCTTTTCAGATCATTTGCTCAGCATACAAGTTGAATAAGTATGGTGAAAGGATACAACCTTGACGCACTCCCTATTTGATTTTGAACCATGCAGTATCCTCTTGTTCTGTTAGAACCACAGCCTCCAGATCTATGTACAGGTTCCTCATGAGCACAACTAAGTGTTCTGGAATTCCAATTCTTCTCAATATTATGCACAATTTGTTATGATCCACACAACCAAATGCTTTTGCAGAGTCAATAAAACATAACATCTTTCTGGTGTTCTTTGCTTTCAGCAAAGATCCATCTGACATCAGCAATGATAACCTTTGTTCATGTTGTCTTCTGAATCCAGCTTACATTTCTGGAAGCTCTCTGTCAATATACTGCTGCAACCGTTTTTGAATTATCTTCAGCAAGATTTTACTTGCATGCAATAATAATGATTAATTTCCACATTCTGTGGGATCACCTTTCTTTGGAATGGGTACAAACACAGATCTCTTCCAGTCAGTTGGTCAGGTAGCTGTTTTCCAAACCTCTTAGCATAGTTTAGTGAGTGCCTCCAGCGGGGCATCTGTTTGTTGAAACATCTCAATGGGTATTCTGTCAATTCCTGGAGGCTTGTTATTCACCAGTTCCTTCAGTGCAGCTTCGACTTCTTCCTTCAGTACCATTGGTTCTTGATCATATGCTACCTCCTGAAATGGATGAACATTGACCAGTTCTTTTTGGTACAGTGACTCTGTGTATTCCTTCCATCTTCTTTTGAAGTTTTCTTCATTCTATATTTTGCCCATAGAATCTTTCAATATTGCAACTTGAGGTTTAAATTTTTTCCTCAGTTTTTTCAGCTTAAGAAATGCTGAGCGTGTTCTTCCCTTTTGGTTTTCTAACTCCAGGTTTTTGCACATTTCATTATATTAATTGGCTTTGTTTTCTCGAGCTGTTCTTTTAAATCTTTTGTTCAGTTTTTCCATTTGCTTTAGCTACTCTTTGCTCAGGAGCAAGTTTCATCTATTTTGGTCTTTTCTTTTCTCATCTTTTTTTAATGACTTCTTGCTTTCTTCATGGATGATATTCTTGATGTCATCCCACAATTCCTCTAGTTTTTGGTCATTGGTGTTCAGTGTATCAAATCAATTTTTTAAATGGTCTCTAAATTCAGGAGGGATATTATCAATGTCATATTTTGGCTTTCATGGACTTGTTTTAATTGTCTTCAACTTCAGCTGGCATAATCAGCTCCTGTCCTTGTTTTGGCCGAAGATACTGAAGTTCTCCATTACCTCTTGCCACAGATATAGTCAGTCTTGTTCCTGTGTATTCCATCTGGTAAAGTGCATTTGTATAGCTGTTGGTTATGTTGTTGAAAAAAGGTATGTGCAATGAATAAGCTGTTGGTTTTGCAGAATTCTGTCATGTGATCTCCAGCATTATTTCTTTTTTTATTTTTATTTTTTATTGTGATTTGGGTGAAGATTTACAGAGCAAATTCACTTTCCATACAGCAGTTCACATATACTTTGTCTCATGACATTGACGACAGTTTACTACA